TTCACCGGAGTCTAACGCGAGATCCCTGCCCACCGCCATTTTTAAATATCACTCGGGTGTCATTGTACTTACCGCTGAAATGTCGTCTTCAAAGGGCGTGGACTTCGACAATGCGTGAAGAAGATCAAAGATGACAAAACACAGTTTCCAAAGGTATATATAACTGTATTTGACCTGGAAGTGATTCATTGTACATTTGATTCAAAGGGTCACTGTACGGATTCATGTTACGGAAGTGCCGCTGTACGGATTGTGATGCGGAACTGCTATGTTTACATTTTTAATCATGTAACAACTAACAGTCTCAAAGATGACATTACTCAAAGATAACATTTTTACAATTTAAATAAATTTCATATACATAATATATATATATATATATTTATGTTTCCTCACAATGTCAAATGTGCTTGTTAAGTGCGGCAGCTTTTATACATTTTACAATTTTAATATGCAAGTTAACATTATGTCGAGTCAGCAGGGCTAACGTTAAAACTCGCCGTTTGTTACATTATGTATTAACCTTATAAAAGTCTGTCTAGCTTTAGCAAATGTAACATTATGCTGGTCCTAATAAAGTTAAACCGTTATTAACGTTAGCCCTGAATGTGAAACATGCATCAGCCATCATAACATTAACGTTAAATACCTTTGGTTGACTAACATAACGTTAGCTGTTAACTTAAAGGCACACTGTGGAACTTTTCAACCTTTATAATATATTACCAAAACCCATTGAGATGGTACATCGACTTACAATAGGTTGAATGACACGTCTGCCGAAGCCTGAAGGTGTCTGTATCGCTTTTCCTAGCACTATGTAACTTCGGGGTTTCGGGTAGGAACCCGAGCACAAAAAGAACTACAAAATTCGACCGCTTTACGGCATACGTCGCTTCCCCCACCACCCACAACTTCCTCAGATTCTGACGTGAGTGCTGAACTCGCGTTTGATTGCCGTCTGTATGTTTTCGTCATGGCCGAACCAACAGCTACAAGGAAGAAGGCAAAGGTTTTGTCAGAGGACACTAAAAAAAAAGAAAAAGGCATAGTGACAAATGAAAAGCCAGGACGAGGATCACCATTGGTCCAGCGTTCGCTCGCTGGCGTGAGCTACAGGAGGAGGAGGGGTGCCCGACCGATGCTGACGCTTGCCTGCACACAAATGCCGTTTCCAAGGTGACACAGATAAATCATATAAGCAGTGTAGTATTGTCTGGTATTCCGGCCACAGCCGATGGGGTTATGAGTGTAATAAAATGCCCACAGCCCATTGTTCATTTCTACACACAAACACAGCCCGCCACAGTGCAGGGCTCGAACAAATAAAATCGACTCATGTCAAATGTAGTGAACGTTCCCACGACTCAGTGCCCACAAACACTACAGACAACATGTCCCACGGTTTCTGTAAAACGAAACCAACACACATAACTTACAGTCAGCTCAGGCCGACGGTGTTTTTAGTGCAGTAAGTTAAATGTGCCCGGCCCGCCGTCCCGCGCCCACATTCACTCACAGACATGTTAGCACTAAGCCCCACGGGGCTCGCCCCGCTCGCTCTCTCTCAGCAGACTGCTATAAGGGAATCGAGCGCGGCCAGGCTGCCCGCCTCAAACACTGCAAGCACACACAATCTAAAGACACGGGAGGCTGACCCACTGTCTATAGGCGGACCGGTTGACTGTTTGTTGACTTTTGCGACAGTGCTGCGGAGCTTGTGGCCTCTAGGGACGCTAGACGTGAAAGTTACAGGTCGAGCGCCACTAGTGGCCGAAAAGTTCCGCAGTGTGCCTTTAACGTTACATCTTACAAGTTACTGTTGCCTCTTGCAAACACGTAACAGTAGGGGTGTGAAGGTATATAACCGTGAGACCGACGGTTATAGTTGAACACCGTCATTAGAACTCTATAACCGCCAAAACCGTTATTCAAATATTTTTTACAAACATTTTTTATCATAGAGAATGTTTAAATACTATTATCAGCTTACGAGGGAAACAGAGGTGGAGAGTTAGTGGTGCTTCGGGGGCTGAGTGCTGGAGATGATTCGGGAGAGGTCTGTGCACCTTTACCGATCAGAGCGCGCTGACACGGAGTAAAGCCTTGTTTATACTCGACGCGTCCGTTTCTTTTACTGTCTATGGTCCGCGCGCACCTTGCAAAAATGACGCGTTGGGTGCGCAAGACCCCATTTTCCTTGGCTGTGTGCACAGGGTTTTTTGTAACAGTGCGCACGGCGCCGCATCCGAGGATGAACGACTTCATTGCAAAGTTTTTTTTTTGTTAAGGTTTTGTTTACTGTGCAATGAACGTGCTTTGTTTTAAATAAATCACACAAAGTTATTTTTTTCTTAAGGATTTGTTTACTGTGTGTGATTCATTTAATGGAAAGCACATTCACTTCTAGTCATCTTGCTGTTAATTTTAAATAAACGTAGAGCAAGTAGCTAATCAGTGTCTGCTCGTTTATTCAAACTAAGTTGTCCTATAACAGACGAACGTCGCAACGCATACAGTTAAATTTTCATTCAAGCTCCAAACTGCAATTATTGTTAAGGGGCAACCTAATGGCTCTGCTCTGGCGATTTTTACAAGCATGATACATCTTATCTATTTTTCAGGACAATGCCTGGTGAGAGCCACTACAGAGGATCATAGCCATCGTTGGAATTTTGAAAGGACGTGGGTGAATATCAATCTGCCAAATGAACTTTTTTAGCATGCACATTCACATCTGTATATTAATACTGATTATTAACTTTGTTTGTTACTGGAAAGAACTTAGCTTCTGAACTAAGAACAAATAACTTTTTGACTGAAGGACTTGACCGTATTTTATGTGCATTTTAGCCTATGTGCATTTTAAAGTAAACCCCATGCCGTAATGGAAAAAGTATGTACATATATTGGACAGTTGCTTGTAATTGCTATCAAATATTGTTTACATAAAATAAACATGTGTATTTTTACATATATTGGAGAAATGCTTGTAATTACTGTCTATTAATGTGTATATAAAGTGAACCCATACATTGAGTAAATGTCATGTTGATATATTGGAAAGTTGATTTTAATTAGTATAAAGCAATGTTTATATAAAGTATACCTCATACATTGATGTTAAAAGTATATAGAAGGTAAAGCCCCATACATTAAAGGTACAAATATGTAGAAATATTGGAGAGTTGCCTGTAATTATTGTAAAATAATGTTTATATAAAGTGAACCCCCTTATTTAAATGGTACAAATATGTAGAAATATTGGAGAGTTGCTTGTTATTACTGTCAAATAATGTTTATATAAAGTAAACCTGCATACATTAATGGTAAAAGCTTGTAAATTTATTGGAGATGTGTCTGTAATTACTGTCAAATAATGTTTTAATAAAGCAATAACTGTTAAAAATATGTTTCTGAAACTTAATATCACAAGATCTTGTTTTTTTGTACAGGATAAAACCAATATTTAAAAGGAATTTACTGTAAATGGATTGAATAATGACATAAAATAAAAGTTTAAATCGATCAATATACTGGTATTAGGCTTTAAATTAGGGTATCTGAAGGTAATTATACAACATTTTCTGTGTGTTTTACATAGAAAAGTCTTTACTTTGACAAGGAGTTCTTGTAGATGGATTGGATTATCCTAAAAATATACCAAATAATACTGTATTAAAACAGAAGTCTTTGTTTTAATTATGTAATTTTAAGGTATTTCTGCAATATTTGTAAGTTTTTATACAGATTTATACATTCGTTTAACATTCAACAGTCATTTTTTTATGAGATTTTTCTTTTCTTTCTACAGCAGTTTGACTGTAAAAATACAGAAAATGTTTACGGTAAATATCCGTTTTCAAAAAACAACATTTTTCTGTAAAATAATTTAAGTTTTTTTACTGTAATTTGACGGTAAGTGGTTGGCAACTTTGCTGCCAGACTTTTTACCGTTATTTTACGGAATTTTTTTTTACAGTGCAGAATGATTAGATTCCTTCAAGTCTGTCGGACGATTATAAAATGTGTTTAATTAAATTGAATTACACGTTAAGCTTATTAGTTATTCAAAATCGAATAAATAAAGGATAAAAAATATCCTGCAGAAACGAAGATTGAACAGACATCTAAGTCAATATACAGTAGTGGCCAAAAGTGATTGTGTATATTGCGTGTGTATCATACACACACCGGACTCGCTGCACACCCACTCTCAGGCTACGTCTACATTAATCCGGATAGATTTGAAAACTGGGCTACTCCGTCCACACTAGCGTTTTCAGGCGTTTTCCACAAGTTTCTCATCCTCACTGAAATGTCGGAAAACACTAAAATCAGCTTTACTGCGCATGCGTAAACCCCTCACAGCTCACTGAGAGGATACAGACAGAACGAGACATAATCAAGTTATCGCACAAGTCTTCTGGAAGGATCATATTATTCGGCGAAATAGCTCATTATTCACTGATGCGTCCAGGTCGCTCTCACTCACCATTACATGTTTGGTGTAAAACGCGACTGCTCTCACGTTTGACCGCCGGACAGCAAATCTGAGTACATTTTCTGTCATCTTCTGTGATATGAAGAGTGTGCAAAGTTACATATTTCAGCAAGAGTGTGAAAGTGAAGAGCACATAACAACCGTATTGGTACAATATGGGTCACATGACTAAAACGTCATCGTTTTCATATACCTCCGTTTTCACAGTCCACACTGCAACACGAAAACGGTTAATGATATTTTTTTGCCGTCCCATATCATGCGTGCCATAATTTTGTGGTTTTGTTTCAAGTTGAAAGGGAAAAAAATCGTGTGCTTTTGACTTATGAGTCCATGATTAATGCAGTTTCTCTACATAATTAGTTGTACTAAATTGACTTCAACGGTTAAAGTTTCCACATAATTAAGAGGGACACGTGTGCGGGGTTTCACAAGAGCCTGACACTTCCTCTTCAGTTTGCTCTGTGGTTCAGGATGGAAAGAACGATGTGATAGCAGTGACTCTTTACTCAGAGCTCAGGAATCTTTCTCAGAAGCTGGATAGGCTCATTTCAAAACCTCTTTGTTATATTTTATTATTATTTTAAACAGTGAACATCGGGCAGTAACTTCACCGGAGTTTAAATGTGACCTTCACCACATACAGATGCTTTTAAACTATTTAAAGTATGTATTGCATTTGTGTTTATGTTACTCTCTTAATTAGAATAACCGGCAATGCTTTAGCTTTCATTTATGAACATTATACAATGCTTTAAACAGGTCAAGTACATTCAAATATGAATATATGGGGGGGAAAAAACTAAAAGTAAATTGTTATCTATAATTGTATATTAGTGAAGCATTGTATAATGTTATATTATTATGTTATTGTTATAAGATTTATTTTTTATTTGAAAGCAAATGGTTTTATGTATTTATCATTTTCTTTCATTTATCTTTTGTATCCTTCTCCCCCTTTTTCTTTCTTTTTTAAAAGTTTTCTATGTTGGCTGTTTGAAATTGAAGGTTTTGTAATTTGAAGACTTCTCTGGAATAGTAACAATATTTCACGTTTTCTTTCAGACATCATAAGCATGGCATCAGTCTGGCTCGTGCTTGTGCTGGGGATATATATTAATGCCTGGATAAAAGGTGAATCAACTTTTTTTTTTTTACCCATTACATTTTGATTACGAGACCATTTATGTTCTTTTTCTATCACTTTAGACCTTTTTAATTTATTTAAAATGTATTGTTCATTAAACAAGAAAAAAATACAAAATACTTTTCATCATTTGCTTAGAAATTGGGCAACACTTTAGAATAAGGTTTCATTGGTCAACATTAAACATTAGTTAACATGACCTAACAATAAACAATACTTCTACTGCATGTATTAGTTAATGTTAATTTCAACATTTATTAATACATTAAAATCAAAAGTTGTATTTGTTAACATTAATGAATTGTGAACTAACATGAACAAACAATGAACAGCTTATTAACTAGCCTTAACAAAGGTTAATAAATGCTGTAAAAATGTATTACGCATAGCAACAACATTGGGTATACAGTAAATTAGTTTATTATAATCTCAAATATGCATCAAATACATAATGCAATAATTTGACATTTGTTTGTTTAGACACACCAAGGTAAAGTTTCTCTGATGTCGTGCAACAACCCACACGTTTTGAAATAGGTTTGTTGTCGGGAATGTGTCACGCAATGCAAAGTCACAAGACTAGCGAAGTGGATCGGTGTGTTCCTAGTTAATTCATTATTAGAGCCCAACTTCTCTTCCTGAATTCATGTCTAGTCTAAAAGTGATTTCTGTTTTTGTTGACCCTACAAGTTTGATTAAACCAAGAATATTTTAGATCCAGGGAATAACCAATCACTAATCTTAGTTAAGGTACTTATCTCACAAAATTATTTGGTAAAAAAAAGGCAAACTACAGCTACAGGTTTTATTTTACTATAATGTATAGAAAAACCAAAAGCTGATGGGAAAAAGCATACATTGACTACAAAATCATAAACATTTTGTTGGTTCTCTTTTGTTTTTGCATGTGCATTTGCATTATAATTTCTTTATGAAAAGCCTGGCCAAAAATGATGTCCTCTCAATTTTCCATGTTTCATTGCGTCATTACAAATAAAACAATCGACTCCAAACACAAATGCCCAATATGCTTATGAAATCATTAACACATTTTTAATAATATTGGAATAAAGGATGAAGATGAAGACATCACGTTTGGCCTCTACTGTATGAGTATGATTTAAAACATTGATATACATTTATCATCCGCAGTGATTCAGGCATCGTGTGCTACGGTACACACTCCAGCCACAGTGGTCCTCGCTGGCTCACCCGTGTCCGTGTCCTGCTCCATCGAGGACGACTGCTTGCTGACCAAAGGCAAAGACTTTCGTGTGGCGTGGAAGATTAATAAGGATTTTGCCCCCAGCAATCTCTCTTACCAGGAGAATAACAGGACATATGGCCTACGCATCCCCAGCCTACCACACACAGCAGACATCGCTTGTTTCGTGTGTGTTTCGGAAGAAAACTGCCAAATAGTCGATGGAGTGAAAGTAAAAGTGGATTGTGAGGATCTTTTTTTTTTTATGATAATGGCCCCTTTTCACATTTCCAGGGTTTCTCAGAAGCTTAGTTAGTCATAGTTGGTTAAGCTTATGCAGTGGTGAACGGAACAGCAAAAATAATGTTTGCATTCCCATTTTCTCCAATAGCAAAAGAAAAAATACGTAATAGCATTTCCACGGCTTTCCAAAAAAAAAAAAAAAAGGGAAAAATATCGAGAAATTCTGTGCATCCAAAATTACGTACTGTCAGAGAATTTACGGAGTAGGTACTACAAACTCCTCAATGGTGGGGTAAGCGTTGTGCCATAAATGATGGAAAATCTTATAATATATGGAAAACTTTACTGGATTTGCGATATGGATAACTGTGAACACGCATTATCAAAGTCTGTGTAAAGGGTCCATGATTAAGTACTGTGATGCTAATTACTAACTGCAGTTATAGATCTTAATCAGGGTCCATATCTAATCTGGCATGAATGAAAACGAGGCTTTGATGTTGGTACTGATCGTTCAACCAGCGAAGCTTATCTTATACAGACGGTATTTCCATCCTTCACAGCCTTGTTTCCATTCTCACCGAATTAAATATGGTGTCTGCTCTGAGAGGTCAGTTTTTACATTCACATCAAGAAATTGTATTTGAAGAATATGATATTTTCAGAAAATGTAATCGTCAAGACTATTCATCATTGTCATTCCTGGCCAAAGTTCACCAGACTTATAATCTTCCTTATATCTTTAAAGATCCTCCACCCATTCCTCGAAACCTGAGCTGTGTTTTGAATGTAACGGAGTCATCCAGACTCCTGTGTCAATGGGATCCTGGTGAGGAAACGGCCAGCCTTTCTACAAAATATACTCTTCACGCATTGAGGTACTAATTTCTGCTGACATTTTCAAAACTGTAGCTTGTTTATGGATCAATCTCACGAAAGGTTGCAATTCACTCTAAAAATAAAGGGGATAAAAGGAAATTAAAAACGAACAAAGCTGACTTTTAGGATCATTGGGATTTTTTTGCATTACAGATTCATGACAATCAAGTACATTTCCCCTGACAAGTGGGAAATTTAAGGCAATCAGTTGCCTCAATTTTTTTAAGTTAAGAAATTCAAAGTTTAAAGGCACACCGCGGAACTTTTGGCCACTAGTGGGGCTTGACCTGTAACTTTCACGTCTAGCGTCCCTAGAGGCCACAAGCTCCGCAGCACTGTCGCAAAAGTCAACAAACAGTCAACCGGTCAGCCCATAGACAGTGGGTCAGCCTCCCGTGTCTTTAGATTGTGTGTGCTTGCAGTGTTTGAGGCGGGCAGCCTTGCCGCGCTCGATTCCCTTTATAGCAGTCTGCTGAGTGAGCGGGGCGAGCCCCGTGGGGCTTAGTGCTAACATGTCTGTGAGTGAATGTGGGCGCGGGACGGCGGGCACATTTACTGCACTAAAAACACCGTCGGCCTGAGCTGACTGTAACGTATGTGTGTTGGTTTCGTTTTACAGAAACCGTGGGACATGTTGTGTGTAGTGTTTGTGCGCACTGAGTCGTGGGCACGTTCACTACATTTAATGTACATTTGACATGAGTCGACTTTACTTGTGCGAGCCTTGCACTGTGGCGCACTTTATTACACTCATAACACCATCGGCTGTGGCCGGAATACCAGAAAATACTACACTACTTATATGATTTATCTGGGTCACCTTGGAAACGGCATTTGTGTGCAGGCAAGCGTCAGCATCGGTCGGGCACCCCTCCTCCTCCTGTAGCTCACGCCAGCGAGCGAACGCTGGACCAATGGTGATCCTCGTCCTGGCTTTTCATTTGTCACTATGCCTTTTCCTTTTAGTGTCCTCTGACAAAACCTTTGCCTTCTTCCTTGTAGCTGTTGGTTCGGCCATGACGAAAACATACAGACGGCAATCAAACGCGAGATGAGCACTCATGTCAGAATTTGAGGAAGTTGTGGGTGGTGGGGGAAGTGACGTATGCCGTAAAGCGGTTGAATTTTGTAGTTCTTTTTGTGCTCGGGTTCCTACCCGAAACCCGAAGTTACATAGTGCTAGGAAAAGCGATACAGACACCTTCAGGCTAGGGCAGACGTGTCATTCAACCTATTGTAAGTCGATGTACCATCTCAATGGGTTTTGGTAATATATTATAAAGGTTGAAAAGTTCCACAGTGTGCCTTTAAGTAAGCAGAACTGACATATTTTTATTTTGTATTTGTACATTTGAATTGTTCTTAACTTGAAATGTTTGAGTACACTAATTCATACATTTAACTTAAAATTTCATGTAATCTCAATGTGAACACTTTTATTAGTATAAACTTAGCTAGCTTTAACAAGCTAGTTTGCTAACATACTATTTTGTTAAAATAGTATGCTATACAGTAACACTTGCAGCAATATAAAGGTTTTATTTGCTCTCAAATCAAGCTCATGCACCACTTGTCACCATGATGGTAACTATCCTAAAACCAACATTAACAGAAATTCTTCTAAATTAGCATAACGAAACATTAATCATTACTAAATCACCCGCTTAACATTAATCTTGCACAAAAAACATTGTATTACACTTAATTTTAGCATTTACTCTCCCTTTCGAGTGCCATCGGCAAAGCATGCTGGGAAATATACATCCCAGCCGTTTCAGTTAAACTTAAGTTCGTCTAAATTAAAAGAAATAATTTCATAAAACTCAAAACAATGAAACAGTTCAGTTTACTTAAATTATATCCATTCTGTGAACTTGAAAGAAAAAGAAAGTGCTGAATACTCATAAAAGTTAATTTGACTGAACTAATTAGTTTAATTTAAGTTTTTCCTACTCAAACCAATTAAGAATTTTGAGCGTTAGGGTTTACAGTGCATCTACGTAGAGAGCAGCAGACATGCAGGTTGGGTGGATTGGACATGCCAAATTGGCCATAGGTGTGAATGCGTGTATGTGTGAGTCCCAAGCCATGTAATGGGGAGAGTTAGGGAAAGACCTGGCAACCTACCTAATCGTAAGAGAATAGAACTGGTTTCCTAGGCTGCGTTTCCCAAAAGCATCGTGAGCTAAGTTCATCATAGAGACCATTGGTGGCAATGGTTCTACGATCTTCTTGGGCTTTTGATGCTTTTGGGAAATGCAGCCCTGATGGATTACGTGCAGGAGGTGATTGGCGTCAGACACTTTGCCCAATGTGACAACGTACCACTCATGGAGGGGTTCTAGATCGGATTGGATAATGAGGAGGGCTGAGGATCCAGGGTCCAGTCACACTCAACATCCATCACCGACCGACCCGGAGTCAGACCCAGCACCCACACCCACTGCGGTTTTGGATTCAGAGCCCAATGCAGACCAAGACACCCAGCTGATTCCCGCCATGGAAATCGAGCCTGAGCCAATGCCCACAATGGAGCCAGAGCCTGCACCCCCTCTCCGCCTCGGCTCCACCAGAGACCATCGTTCTCACGGCTCCACCAGGCTCCTTTATCCCTCCGGCTCCACCTTGGTCAGTCGTCACCCTGCCTACACCTACGGGCCTTCAGCTATGCTTCATCCCTCCACCCCTTCGTTTCCAGTGGGCTCCGCCCTCCCTCCAGCTCTACTTTGTTCTTCAGTCAAACCGGCTTTGCCTCCGTCCTCTGGTACTCTGGCTCCACCTCGGACGCTGGTCGCTGTGGCTCCACCTTGGTCTCCAGACCCATCAGTGTTGCTCAGTCCCATCTATTCTCAGTCTGCTCCTTGTGCTCCACTTCCAATGGTTCATCACTGTCCTCCATGGCTCCTCCCTCTATGGATTCCACCATGGCCTGTCCTCCAGTTCTCGTCGGCCACCCATCCACACTTCACTCCTTCATGGACTTTTGCACCATCCACTCCTCCATGGCTCCTCCCACGCTCCTTCCGCTGTCTGCTCCACCCTGTTGCCTCCTGCCAACATCTCTGCTGGTCTTTGGTCTTTCCCTGGCCCCTCGCCCACATACAGGGGGTTCTGTCACAATCACATTCAGTTTTGTCTGTTTTAGTTACGTTTGCATGGACCTTTTGTATTTCCTGATTTCCCCATGTTCATTTGTTCCATTTTCTCCCGCCAGTCTTTAGTTACTATAGTTGCTCATTCAATCCGCACACCTGTTTACACTTGAGTTTGGTATCATTGTATATTTAAGTTCCTCTTTGTTTTCAGTTCAGTTGTCTGGTTTTGCCATGTTGTTTGTGTGCTACACGTTGTTACGTTGCCTATCTTCTACTTATTACAGTTTGTTTAACATAAATACTTTTTGTTATTAGAACCATTTTGGACTCTTTCATTGGACTTTTAAACTGTGACATAAAGAGCTCGTAAACATAACTTATCACTAGAAAAATGTAAATAACCCGTTAAACATGAAAGTATTCGTTCTCCTTATATAGAACCTCTTTAGCATAAAGGGTTCTTTAAAAGTGAGTTAAGAACCCTAGAGTTCAATATAGAACCCATACGCTGATTTCACGCAGCCGCCATTTTGAAATCGCTCCGGTGGGAAGAAAACCGGAAGTGTAGCTTTTGCGATGGCATATTGTTGTGTTTAATGTAGAAATTAGTTATTCTAAAAATGTACATACATTTATTTCATACTTTAGACTATATACAGTGAAATTCATTTATAAATAAAACATTTTTTTATATATAATTCAGAACGGAAAAAAAGAAGCAGGAACGAACTATATACATACCCTATATTGGATATTAACATCCAATAGTGTAAATCGTATATATAAATATCAACTAGTTGTTGTGTTTTCGTAAATAATGCAGCAGCTTCAGGTTGGTAGTCCAAGCATTGTTGTCTATCTGTACTTCCGGGGTTCTTCCCACCGGAGCCTCGCTTTCGATTTCAAAATGGCGGCAGCGTGAAATCAGCGTATTGAACCTTTTTAAGAGTTCCAATAGTGTACAATAATGTGATGTTTTGCATTACAGTAACAGGAATGGGGGGAAATGTGTTTCATCGTCTTGAAAATAATGTAACAGTGAGCCAGCAAAATATAAATGTACTATTTCCAATGACTTTTTGTGGTTAAATATGACTTGGATATTGTGACTTAGTGAGATTCACACTTATGGTTTAGAGTAAATTCAATTTAATTTATAGTTGTGGTGACAGGTTTTATAAATTGTTAATTTCTACAGGGCCCAATCAGAAAAGGCTCAATATGAGATCCCACCTGGACAGCATTTCTACTTGATTCCGCGGGATTCTTATAGTAAATATTCAGAGTTGGAGGTTTATGTGACAGCAGTGAATGTCCTTGGAAATGCCACTTCTGCTTCTCTGGAACTGATCCCTATGGATACAGGTAAAAAAACAATCAGCTTTATTCCTCTGTCAATAATTAAGAATAAATGTAGAATTAGTGACTTCATACCAGGATTGTGCGCTTTGCAGAATTTAATGTAGGATTTTTGTACTCAATTTATTTAATTGCGGAACATATAAATATGAATTGATATATAGGATGTTGAGTAGTAATTTTGAGTAGGAATACAAAGCAGTACTAATTTAAATAGAACAAATTAAAATAGAATGAAAAAATGTTTTTTTAAATAGTTTTATGCAATTTTATTATTTTATATGCATGACTCATACACAGGCTGTCCATAGACACAACATGGGGTATTTTCATAAACAATAGATGATACAAATAAACAATGGAAATTTGGATTTAATTTATGTCATTTTACTTAATACAAATAAATCACAGTGCACCATATATACTTTATTTGTATGCTCTTATTAAAAATGGAGCAATAAGACAATTTTGTTGTTGTTGATTTGAGTAATCCTGAAAGTTTTTACATTGTTTTTCAAAATTTTATGTAATCAATAGATTTAAATGTTGGTGTCAATATTAAGTTTTATCATTGGGGGGGTTATATCCCCCCCATCCCCCCCACAAATTACGCCCCTGGTTGTCTGACAACAGTATGTTGGACATTGTCCTGACGTGAATAAGCATAATTCAGTCATGACAACTCTCGGAATAGTCATTGTTATTGAATGTGCCAATGTTAATGTATTTGGTTTTGGCGGGCTAGATCTGCTACACTGCTGCTGTTGCTGAGCTAGTAAGGACTTGCTACTGCTAACAGATACACAGATGTAAGATATGCTGCATGAATAGACATACATAAATCCCGTAGCAGATCTCGGCAGGTGGAGCTGGGGGAGGTGGGAGGGTTTCAGAGGAACTCTGAATCTGACACAGATTGGAATTTGTTGCACACATGTAAACAAAAATCCACATGAGATCCTAGTTTTCCACATCCGTTCTGAGCAACTTCCAAAAGTGATTTTTAATTAGATACATATCCGACATCTGGACATCTGACCTACATCTAAACACGTACAGTATATCCGATCCTCCTTGGAATTCCAAGCCACCACAAGGCAAGGGCGACACGTTTGCCTACAAAAATAGCGTTTTAATGTTGTATTATGAAGCAGACGTTCCTGTATTAGCTCGCACTTTTGAGGTGGAAAATTTTGTTTAGGGAAGAGTATTGTGCACACACACAGAAACATTCAGGAGCATGTAGCATGGATTTCATAAATAAAACAGCTTCGTTACTGAAAGCTACATTATATTTCTCAGGTGATAACTTAGTGAAGCTGTGAGTTGAATTACAAAAACAGCTATAACATAGAGACGCTGTACAGACACAGGTAACTCACTCTCTCCCCGTTTCGTTCATTTATTCAAAATCATTCAAATAAATGTAATCTATACCACACTAGTTTGTCACTTTAGAATTTTAGATCTACACGAGCCGAAGATAAATTAACATATGAAAATTGCCATCCATGACCATTAACTTATCCATGCTTGCAAATAGTCTAACCATGGTAACACCCAACCTGAGTTATATGAGTAATTTTAATAGCACGGCCATTCAAAACCCAACGGTCAGCCATGTTGCATTTAAAGAGTTCAACAAAATAAATTTGGGCGGGAAAATATATCGGGTACCAGTCGCAAATGTAAACAGGCGGGACAAAATAACAGATATAGTCAAAAGATCAGATCTGTACATTGAGACTTGCAGTGTAAACAGCTTGATAGCACTGCAGGACTAGCGCACAGCTAACAATGAACCAGACTATTTAAATGTTGAGCAAGAAACTCATTGGTTGCAGGATCAGCAGAGGCCAATCAGCTTGTGCCGTGCCGTAATGATGTGATTGAAGGACCGGTCAGCCTGCGCCCTCTAGAGTTTCATGATAAGATATTTAGCCAAAATGATTTACCACTGTTTTGTCACAAATCTTTTATGAGACTAATACAATTAAAAGTTCTCTGAATTGCAATTCAGTAATTTTTTCACATTCTAATTTAACATCTTTATACATTAAAGTAAATTTCAGGTGCACCAATTCTTAAATTCTGTACATTTTTTTTTTTTTTTTTTTTTACAATTCTGCTTCTGGTTGTATCAGTCAAACCTTAGCTTTGAAGTAGACCTTTCATAATTATGAAGGCCAAGACATACATAAGTGGCTGTGTTTTGAAGAATATTGGGCCTATCTTAATGTGTGTTGTGATAAAAAAAATATATATATATACACTACCGTTCAAAAGTTTGGGGTCAGTGAGAATTTTATTTTAATTTTTTGGAGGAAAGAAATCAATAAGGACAGTAAAGACATTTATAATGTTACAAAAGATTCTATTTCAAACAAATGCTGTTCTTTTGAACTTCCTGTTCATCAAAGAATCCAAAAAAAAAAAAAAAAAAAACTATACAACTGACAGACCAACAACTGTTTCAACATTGATAATAATAATAAATGTTTCTTGAGCATCAAATCCTCATATTATACTGATTTGTGAAGGAGCATTTGACACTGAAGACACTGACACTGGTGATGCTGAAAATTCAGCTTTGATCACAGGAATAAATTACACTTTACTATATATTCACACAGAAAACAGCTGATTTACACTGGAATAATATTTAATACTATAACTGATTTTTGTTGTATTTTTAATCAAATAAGCGCAGCCATGGTTAGCAGAAGAGAATTCTTTTAAAAGTATTTAAAATCGTACCGACCCCAAACTTTTGAACGGTAGTGTATATATGTAATGTATTTTATTACAGCAAAGTTCAACGCTCCAGAGATTAAGAGTGTTGAAGCGGATGCTCCTGGCTGCTTACAGTACAGCTGGAGTCTTCCACAGTCATGGGTGCAGTCCACCCTCATTGTAGAGCTGAGACTGACAACATTGAACAACCAGCTTGACAAAGAGTTGGTAAGTGATTGCTTTTCATGACAATATTGCTTGATCAGTTGAAACAGTTTGCAAGTTATCCGAACAGTATCTTAACCCTTTAAGTGTCACCCCCCTTTTTTTGAATATACATGAAAATGCACATTTCGAACTTAAATGGTTGTAATTCAAGAATGCTTTGGAATATAGACGTAAGATTGGTCTTGTTTTAAAGAAGACATTTGGCAGATTTTTGTAGAAGTAAAATAAATTAAGAAAGTGAAACAGAAAAAAAGTTATAGAAGTTTGAGTTTATGAAAATGTACAATGTAAAAAATTTAATTATTCATATTTTATATAAAATACATATTTTCAAAACCTGGGCGACTCTAAAACTGCAAAAAAATCAAAGACAAAAATCTGAACAAGTTGTGTTTCAAATTTTAGGTTGATATCTCAAAAAATGAGCTTTCAGTAAGATTTTGTTTGGGCGCAGTACCAAACTTTTTCACTAGATGACAACCAGACTCCATTACTGCCCATATAAGGGCGCCTCCATTTCCATATGTGTTTTGAGTGATATGAACCATTATTTCCACAATTTTCATACAATTTATGAAGTAGACATCCTATTCAGAAGTAATATGAGAAGTTTGGCAGATTTTGATATGATTTCAACCTCTAAGAAACATAAAAAGAACACACATGTGCGTTTTAGCTTCCTGCCACATCATATAATTTTTTTCTTTATATATAAAAAAAAAAAATTCAGACCTTTTTTTTTTAAATAATTGAATGGATGCTATCTTTTGCACTCTTGGCATGAAAACAAACTGAGGGTTCTACCCTTCTTTCATGATTTTTCATGTTCATCACTATTTCAAAATAAAGGTCTAAGAGTATGAAAATATTATTGTTGCAAATTGATAAATTACGGCTCCTCTGTAATTTATTTTGAAAATCAATCACCAAATATGGAAACTAGAGATTGTAAGCTTTCAAATGATATATAGTTTGTCAAGATTAGTTTAGGTTTAGTATAGGATATTACTGTTTTAAAAATGTAAAGGATTTGGGCCCACCGGTGGGCCCGTGACACTTAAGGGGTTAAATAATCCTTCTATTATAGTTTTCTACCTTCAGTCAACGACAAGGAAACGAAATAAAAAAATGTGGCCTCCTTCATGGGACACATTACAGCAGCACAATGCGAGTGAAGTACCGTCCATCAAGTGAATGGAGTGAATGGAGTGACCCGAAAACAACCAACACACTTATGAGGGGTAACAAGTTATGTCTTCACTACCTTACAATAAAATGCTGTATTCCGAATTTTACAAATGACTGTGCAAATAATGACAATAATTATAATAACCTAATTGTACTGAGTTGTGGAATAATAGTGTCTGGTGATCAAATGCAACTGCATGATTAGTTCATGTTGCAGTGCATCCTGGGAACCTATGATGACCAAAATGTACTGTGCAAATATACAAGAGATTATAATCTCTTGCTGCATTGTTATAATTATAATATAAGATTATAATAATACGACACAACCATCAACATATGAAAAATATTTTATATATTTGAAATATGAGGGAAAAATAAAACACTTAAGTTGGTTAAGGTATTCATTGAATACAACATAATCAGTTATTAATATTTTGCTGGTTCTCTATTGTTTTTTTTTTTTTGCATGCGTTCATAATTTCTTTCTATGACAGCCTGGCCAAAAACTGTCTGGACAATGTTTCACGCAGTCAAAATAAATCACTCGACTCCAAGCACAACGCAAAATGCTAATTTAAAAAAAATAATATTTGAATAAAGGGTGAAGATGTCAATTTCCCTTGGCCGGACATCACGTTTGGCCACTATTGTATATTTACCTCTTTGTTGTATGACTTGTCGACACTCAGAACTAGTTGTTGTGTTTTCAGCTCCGGCTGGAAGTTTGGACACATGGCTTAAAGTGAATGATCAGGTCGCAAAGCTCTACTGGAAGGTGAGAGTCTTTCTGATTGTCACCGGGATGTTGCCAAGGAACAACATTCATGTCCAAAAATGTAGTCCTAACCCTATCCCTACCCCATAACCTTTTCCTGAAATCAGAGGGAAAAGATTGTGAATAACACTGACCACGTTTACAAGCAGCCAATAACCCGTTCAAAATCAGAATATTAGCAATAACCCGGTCGCGCACGGCCATATAAACACCGGCAAAAACCCGAATATGCTCATATTCCGTTTTTTAAAAACCTGAATATGACCCCTGGGTTACCCCTTTTCTAACCCGAATATTTGGTCATGTAAACGCGTATCGGCATATCCCCATCAAAAGGAACACATTTGTGTTCTGCACATGTTCTATTCGCAAGGAGTCTTTTGAGTAGAGGAACTTCTTTTGATACTTTTGATACAAAAACCCGCGTGCAGTATGCCGGAAGTAAACAAGAAGTAGAGGTAAACATGGCGAGACGCACCAAATCCCATGTATACAGGAGTAACTCTCTCTGCTCATGCATGTAAACGGGTTATTCCGAATGTTTCAAAAACCCGAATAGTGAACTTAACCCGACCATAACCCGAATATTGACAGCTTGTAAAAGTAGTCATTGTCATTGATGTAGAAGCACATAACCCTGGTTGAAAGCCTAAACATGTTGCACTTGATCAAATCAGGTTCATCCTCTTGGACAGTCCTGACACAGCTTGGAAAATCCTCTATCTCATTTTATATTATATAGGGTGTATAGTGTGTGTATAACATTGTATCACACACACACACACACACACACACACACACACACACACAAATGACCAGTCAATTAGTGATTGAAAGATCTCTGATGTTCATTCACATTCGTGAAGGTCATAGTATTGAATCTTCAAAGTTAAACTCTATTGACAGAATCTTCAACATCCTGTGAACATTTTTGTAAAATCATACATCATACACTAGCAATGAAAGTTTATGGGACAAGGCACTGCAGCAAGATAAATATTCAGTTATAAATATAAGTTACGTCCAGTTTTTCAACTCATGCCATGATCATGCAATGCTGGTAACCTGGTAACTTTCACATGCAAGGATACGAAGAAGGGACATAAAGCAAAACTTTAGTTTGTTTTTACAAATTCAAAATATTTTTTTCTGCGATAACTTGACAGCATGACGCAGATGTATTGAACCTGAAACTTCCCACTGCCTTGTCTCGTTTTAGCCCTCAAAAGATTTCCGTGCCAATGGCTGGGATTTGTCATACACTGTCGAATCAAAGGAGACTAAAACGACTTTGTGTGTAACTCAAGAAAGCCACTGCTCTTTTAATCTCAACAAGTGGATTAAAAAGGTCTACCTGAGAGCTACGAATGCAATGGGGAGCTCGAATCATACCCAAGTACCAGTGTATCGTAAGAAAGGTATTCAATTCCCACCGTAGAATATATATCTGACAGATGTTCTCTCAATGGTGTTTGATGAGTTGTTCTTGTCTGGTTTTAGGGCTGGACTCTGTGTCTAATGTCAGTGTGCGTCCCCAGTCGCAGACGTCTGTGCTCATAGCGTGGGAAAGCCCTGAGTCCTCCGGTGTCACGGGATACACGCTCGAGTGGAGATCTCTGAGTGAGACACCGGCAGTTCCCCTGTCCTTCATTCTGATGGACAAAAACAGCTCCAGTACCTTAGTAACAGGTATTTACTATTATTGAAAATAATAATATTAACCATATGAACAACCGTTCGGTTGTTCCATATGATCCATATTGTCCATGATCAACTGGTTTAATTACGATTTTTCTTTTATTTGAACAAAAATGCAGTAAAAGTTGTGAAATATTACAATTATAAATTGTTTTCTATGTGAATATTTAGTAAAGTGTAATTTATTCACTGTGATCAAAGCTGAATTTTCAGCATCATTACTCCAGTCTTCAGGGTCACATTATCCTTCAGAGATCACTCTAATATGATGATTTGATGCTCACTTATTATCAATTATCATTGGTGCTCAATTATTAATATTTTAAAAAGTGTTTACTGCTTAATAATTTTGTGGAAGAAATTATTATTTTCTTTAATGAATAGAAAGTTCAAAAGAACAGCATTTATTTGAAATAGAAATCTTTTGTAACATTATTATAAATATCTTTACTATAACTTCTGATCCAATTAATGCATCATTTTTTCACGATTATGTTCTGCGTCCTTTTCTAGCTTTCCCTTTCCCAGATGGTTTCTATGGTTACTTATTGATTGATTATGTTCACCTGAGTCTTTTTTGGTTTCTCATTTAGCTCTGTATTTAAGCCCAGTTTGGTTCTTCTCTTTTTTCCTTTCCTCGTTTTTCCTTCGCATTTTTCGCGTACAGATGACACCATTTTCAAAACGATCCCCGTTCACACGGATCTGTGAAAATGGCTAAAACGGCTGTATATTGCTGCCACGGCCAGTAGTTGACGATGTCACTTTGTAAAAAAAACACTTAACACTCAAAAACTTAACTTGAAACGTGTTTTCACGTTTGTGTTTTCATGCCCCTAAATGCCGTTGTCGTGTAAATGAACGGCAAAACGCATAAAACGCTTACATTTTTAGTTGAAAATGGTGTCGTATAAGGCCCCTAAGTCGTGTTCTTGTAAATAAACACATAATGACACATTAAATTATGAATAAAATTATTATCTTACTTACCCCTAAACTTTCGAATGGTAGTTTATCACAGCAAATCAGCATATTAGAATGATCTTCTGAAGGACTTCTGTGACACTGAAGACTGAAAATTCAGCTTTGACTTCATATAAATAAATTGCATTTTAAAATATGTTAAAATATAAAATTATTTTATAATTATATTGTATTATATAATACTATTATGTTATTCTATTTTAAGTTGTAATACTATTTCACAATATTACTGTTTTTAATATATTTTTGATAAAATAAATGTATTCTTGGTGAGCAGAAATCGCCTCGGTTACGACTGTAAACTCGGTTCCCTGAAGAGGGACCGAGCGGTGCGTTGAGATTGACGCTATGGGAACGCTTTGCGTGATGACGTCTTGAAGCACATGTAAAATCAGTCCAATGGTGTGGCGGAACGTCAGAGGCGGGTGACGTCACGAACCAGGAAACTATAAAGCCTGCTCGAAAACTGAGAGCGCCAGCTTCTTAAAAGTCTGAAGAAGTTGCTGACAGGCATATAGGAGATATGGCAAGGTGACGTAATGCTCGTTCCCTCTTCAGGGAACCAAGGTTACAGTCGTAACCGAGGCTATCCCTTTCAAGGGAACTCGCGTTGCGTCGATATTGACGCTATGGGAACGTCTATACCAACGCCACCATTGCGACGAGTGTCTGTCCAGTGTAAAATTCTGAGAGCAGCACTAGGACCAGAGCACCTGAGACCCTGGTGTAGAATCCAAGTCCAAAGAGTAAAACCTGACGAATGTGTGCGGTGAGGACCACCCTGCCGCATCATAAACATCTTGGGGGGGTTTAAGGCCCTTATATCAACTCCTGATATAAGGGCCTTAGAGGCCGCCATACTCCTATTAGAGTGGGAACGAACAGCCAAAGGTAAAGGCTGTCCAGCCGACTCATAACCAAGTGAGATAGCCTCGACCACCCACTTGCTCATTCTTTGAATAGATGCAGGGGACCCTTTGTTAGGGAGCCCGAAACATACGAACAGCTATTCAGATTTACGCCACAGGGCAGCTCTGTGGACATAAGCATCTAGCGCCCGAACTGGGCAAAGCAAATTATTATTTTCCTGGTCCCAATTCTGGAAGGGAGGAGGACAAAAGGCATGCAGCATAATTGGAACATAACCTGGTCTAGGATAAAGGGACGCTTTAACCATGCCAGGTGCAAATTCCAAGCACGAGGAAGCAACCGGCAGTGCTTGCAAATCTCCTATCCTTTTAAGAGAAGAGATGGTGAGGAGGAACAAAGCTTTCAAAGTCAGGAACTTAGCCGGAACCTCCTCCAGTGGCTCCCTGTGAACTCTCTCCAGAACTCCCGGGAGCAGAGTGATCGGGGGAAAAGCATACAAACGTGGCCAAGGCATCCAGTCCGAGAGGAGCTGGATGCATGAGGGAGAACCAAAGTGGACAGTGAGACGTCTCTCGAGACGCAAACAGATCCACTTGTGCCTGGCCGAACACCCTCCATATCTGCTCCACCACCTCGGGGTGGAGCCTCCATTCCCCGGGCCTCAGCACCTGTCTCGACAGGACGCCTGCTTCTATATTCTGGACCCCAGGGATGTAAGTCGCTCTGAGTGACAGTAGCTTCCCCTGGGACCACAGGAGGATTTGGCGCGCCAGTTTGCAGAGTGGACGCGAGCGCAAACCCCCCTGGAGATTTATATAGGCAACCACCGATGTGTTGTCTGTGTGGACAAGCACATGGTGGCTCCTGAGATCTGCGAGGAAATTCTTTAGAGCAAGAAATACCGCTTACATCTCCAGACAGTTGATGTGCCGTGAGAGATGGTGGTCCCTCCACAGCCCCTGAGTTGAGCGCCCTTCTAGGATCGCTCCCCAGCCCATGAGAGAGGCATCTGTAGTTAGCATTTTTCAATGAGAAGAAGCTCCCAGCACGGGACCCTGGGACAGGAACTAAGGTTTCTTCCACATAACCAGGGCACGTAAGCATCGCCGCGTAACCCTGATCATGCGAAAGAGGTTGCCCCTCGGGGAAAACCCTTTGGTCCTGAGTCACCACTGCAGGAGTCTCATGTACAGCAGTCCAAAAGATATCACGTTGGACGCTGCTGCCATCAGGCCCAACAGTCTCTGAAACTGTTTGACAGTGAGTGACTGGCCTAGCTTTATTCTTTTCACACCCAAAAGTATGGACTCTATGCGTGCCGATGACAGGCGTGCCTGCATCGACATTGAGTCCCAAACCACACCTAGAAAAGTGGTCCTCAGAAGTGGAGAAAGCACACTCTTTTCCGCGTTTAGCCGTAACCCCAACTCTTTCATGTGGGCGCCAACTGATGCGACTGAGCCAGAATCAACCAATCGTCGCTGTAGTTCATGATGCGAATACCCTGCAGGCGCATGGGCGCCAGAGCTGCATCCTGCATTTCGTGAAAGTGCGGGGTGATAATGCTAGGCCGAATGGAAGAACTTGATATTGGTAAGCTTTGTCCCCGAAAGCGAACCTTGGGAACTTCCTGTGATATGGAAGGATGAAAATGTGGAAGTATGTGTCCTTGAGATCTATCGTGACAAACCAGTCCTCGGATCTGATCTGTGGCACGATTTGTCTAACATTTTGAACTTTAGCTGCATGACGGATTCTTTCAGCACTCGAAGATCGAAAATGGGACGCAACCCCCCTTCCTTCTTTGGAACTATGAAATACCGGCTGTAAAATCCGGTTTCCCTGTTGGAGGGAGGTACACATTCTATGGCCCCTTTCTCTAACAGGGTTTTCACTTGTTGTCCCATTACCAGAACCTGCTCGAGACCCACCACGGTGGATAGAATCAGCATAAACCTGGGCAGGCGAGACCCAAACTGTATTTGATACCCTTTTTCTATTTCTTTTTCTAACGAGAAACATTTGGCAGTAGCTTCCACGCTGCCAAAAATTCTACTAGTGGTACCAGCATCTCGAGACTGGCCTCTGGTTTTTGTTGTGCAATCAGCCCGACGCCCTGTAACGGCGAACCGGCAGGGAACGATCGGCCTGACTGCTCTGGAGCCCTCCTTGGAGGGGGCGGGCATCCCGAGGTCACTACGTTTCCGGGTGGTCCTTGAGATATGTCCTCGCCAGAGATGCCTGCGACCTGAAGCACACGAGGTGGCAGGATTGGCAGAATGATTCCCTGAGGGCACCGAAGGTAGACGGGCACCGTATAAAGGGGTGTTGACCACTCTCCTTCGGGCGGGACGGGGCGGGGCGGGGCGGGGGGGGTAAGGGGAGGACTTCACTCACTGACCTGAGCCCTCGGGCGTCAGGAACTCTTCCCCGCAGCCTTCTTAGAAATAATGACGTTCCTCAGAACCGTCTTACCCTTTGAAGACTGCGGCTGCGAGCGCCCTCTGTGTCCCCAGCCTTTCTTGTGGGGGAGCACTGGAGGCAACGCTCAGTTTTTGGGTGGCACGTGTCGAAGAGCTGGTTTGGGACTGCTCCCGCTCAGCAGCCCCGGAGACATGAGAGCGACGGGGAAGGAGATTCTGGAAAGCGGCCGTCTGTTTGGCTGCCTCCTGGAACCTCTCGACGACTGTATTTACAGTGTCGCCAAAGAGGCCAGAAGGTGACAGGAGCGCATCCATGAGGAAGTTCTTGTCCTTTTCCTTTATATTACTATTATATTATTATTAGATTGAGCCACAGATGCCTCTCAGTGGCCACCAGGGCTGCCATAGAGCGGCCGATGGATTTAGCCGTCTTCGCAAACTACGTCAGGGCCATTGTCCCCGCCCTCATCCATGTCTCCTAACAACTCAGCTTGGTAGGCCTGCAGCAGCGACATAGTGTGAAGGCATGCTGCAGCCTGACCAGCGGCTGAGTAAGCTTTACCCACTATGTAGTTCTGACTGGCTTAGTGGGTAATGCCGGGGCCTTTAGAGAAGATGCCGCTTCGGGGGAGAGATAGCTCGCAAGCGTCTCTTCCCCTTTTGGCATCTCCCCATAAACGTGCTCTTTATAGTTAGATATAGAGGAGTAGTTAGATGTTTGTGCACTGTACACTCTTTGTGAAAACGGTTTCTCCCATGATATCGACACCTCAGTCCGCAGGAAAAGTTCGTCCAGCTTACTCTTAGAACGAACGTCCTGTTTATCAGCTGGCCAGTCAATGCTCAGTCTTTCAACCGCTCTTGTCACAACCTCAACCAGCTCTTCGAATGCATGAGACTGAGGTGGCAAATCCTCAGTATCTCTTGCATCAACACTGACAACGTCCAGTTCCTCAGAACTAGATAGTTGCAGTGTCGGTACCTCCACCAGGGCGGAAGGAAGCGTAACGCGTGGAAGGCACTGGATCTATCAGGTGAAGGCAGAGATAAGGTTGGGCCCGTCTCTAACCCTGCTGATAAATCCATTTGCGAACCCCATGAACCAGAACCCTGGGGAGCGCGAGCCTCGCAAAAGAACGCCAGGCGGTATCGGAGCGTCCGCATAGGAAGCACATCACAGTGCTCACAGCCAGCACCCTCGACCGCTGACTGTGCATGCTCCTCACCCAAACAAGCTACACAAAGAATGTGTGTGTCCCCACCCGTTAAATAACGCGGGCAGTGGTGGACACACATCCTAAACTGCTGCTTGCTCGCCATGACTTTATATATATAAAGTAGATATAAAGACAAAACAACACCAAATATGACAGGGACAGTTTCACAGAGCGCTACTGAAGACACAGCTGTTTTCGAGCAGGCTTTATAGTTTCCTGGTTCGTGACATCACCCGCCTCTGACCATTGGACTGATTTTACATGTGCTTCAAGACATCATCACGGAAAGTGTTCCCATTCCGTCAATCTCGACGCAACACGTGTTCCCTTGAAAGGGAACTTAATTATTCCAAACATTTGAACAGTACTGTAATAATAATTATATTAATGAAAAAAAGTGTCAAATTATAGTTGGTTAAAAAGGGTTTAAGGTGCTAAGTCGCTTTAAAAATGTACATTAAAGCCAATAAAATAACCTTAAAGTCATTTGGTATTTAATCTTTTATTTTCTTATTTGTTGCTGACAAAGTGCATGCAAATTTAATCATGGCTGTTTTATTTCAGGGTTAAGGCCTTACAAGCCCTATGAGATCTCCGTCTTTCCCAAATATGCTGACGGGGTTGGTCGTCCTCTTACCGTAATGGCGTATAGCAGTGAGAGAGGTGTGTAGTGCATGAAAATAATGGACATCTCAGGGCTTTCTATAAACTGGGGAAGCGATGTGCAATAGAGCAAAGCCAGAGAATGATCCAACACTTCCATCTAGTGGGCTCACATTTCCCTAGATGTATAATTCTAGCATGCTGACAAATGTTTCATATATTCTCACAGCACCCTCTGAGGCACCAAACTTGGAAGTTGTGGAAATCCATCATTCACAGGTCAAACTTCACTGGGATGAAATTCCCCTTGAACAGAGAAATGGGATCATTCAAGGATATACTATTTACTTTTGGGATGATAGTAATGATACCCAAGGTATTCAAGGATTCAAAGAAGTTGATAACAGATTTTCTGATTTCATAACTATTTTATTGACCATAATGTTTCTATTCTTTTTCAAGTTATACACACTGAGAAGACCAATGTTGTGGTGGAAAATCTTCAACCGCTTACCAAATATCATGCCTTAGTATCGGTTCTTACAATGGGTGGAAGTTTAAATGGATCAGTTGAGAACCTGACAACTGGACATATTGGTGACTATTTATGACCATACTGTTCAGTTATTAATAGTACATATTATAAGGCCTATACTATTCAAATATATGTGTGTGTGTTTGTGTATAAGATTTCAATAATAACTTTTACAAACCATAATCATAAGTGCATTAAGTCATGCATTAGTGTAAAATGAATGCACTCCTTAACATTAGACAACTATTCTACAGCATATTTAAAAAAAATGATGTGGCCTCATGCTTTAGCAATGTTTCCTTTGGTTGTATACTTATTTTAAATCATATTGTACATATTAAAAATCTAAGCGTGATGCAGTTCATCAGACAAACAAATTTGACATTTTATTTATTATATTCTGTGTAGAGGGAAAGTTGGTTTGATTATTGAATATTTTTTTCAGATGGATTTGACATGGTGCTCTTTGTTATCCCAGCATGCATTGGGTTATCACTTCTCATCATCATTGTTGTGTTTACCTGTTTGGGGAAACATGAACGGTGAGCATCCACAGGCTTGTTAAGTACATTGGAAAAAAAGTTTGAAATCATTTTTTTCTTAGAAATTGCTCGTAAATTTTAAAATGCATTACAAAAAACGGCAAGTACATTTAATTAAATGTGACATTTTGAAGTAAAGAGATTAAAAGAGTATTTTCTTGTAAAACATACTCTAATAATTTTTATTTGCAACTTCTAGACATTTTTTTCAGTGTATTAGCACTATAACTTAGTTTATGTGTGGTTGTCACAGGGTGAAGATGTGTTTATGGCCTATAATTCCCGACCCTGCCAACAGCAGCATTAAGAGGTGGACCACCACCGACTCACTGCAGGTACTGTCTGATGAACTGCTGTAGAAGCGGTAGTTTGACTGATTAACCCGTTAACTCTATGAGCACTGACATGCACTATCCAAACTTAAATGGTTATATAATTCATGAATGCTTTGGAATACAGACCTAAGGTCTCTTTTTAAAGAAGACACTCTGCAGATTATTGCACTTCAAAAAATGAAAGTGTAAAAAGAGTTACAGAAGTTTAAGTTTACCGTAAAGCAAATGTACTGTTCTAAAGTACATATTTTATACAATATATATATATATATTACTAGATTATTTGGACTCTAAATTTGTTATAAAATGAAAGGCATATATCTAGCCAAGTTGTGTTCCAATGTTGGAGTAATTGATATCGCAAAAATTGAGGTTCCTGTGAGATTCTCTTTAGGTGTTCTCCTGAAAAGTATGAAAGATTGTTTCCGCCACGGAATAAAACAATTTAAACAATGTTTGACTTTTTTCTGCGTTTTCTACATTTTTTTTGCGTGTTTATATCTCATAAGTATTACTTTCTAACTCGCAATTCTGTGAAAAAAAGTAAGAATTGCAAGATAAAAAGTCACAATTACTCTTTATTCTGTGGCGGATACAAGCTTCCATAAAAAAGCGACATCCATATTCCACTGAATTTTTTTGTATGCGTTCCCCTGTCACAAATTAACACAGTGATACTTCTGTCAAAGTATCACTTCTACCACAAAATAGTGGCCAAATATGGAACATTGAGTCTCAGACCTTTCCAATGATATGTTTTTGTCAAGATTAGAAAAAGATTTGATTATAAAATAATGCAGTAAATGTAGCTAAATTGTAAACACGAAAGAGCCCACTAGGGGGAGGAGCCTGCTAAAAGGTTTTGTCCAATGTCCAATTTCAAAATGTTTAAGCTTTCCAATGATACCCAAGTTATGATGATTACTAAAATATTTCAGAGAGAAAAAAAAAGGCAATTAAAAGTGTGTCGTGTCCTATTACTGAGTATGTGAAAAAATTAATCAATTAGAAATAGTCAATGAAACTGTTCAGTAATTTCATATGTTAACATGTTTTTGTCCAAGGGCATGCCTCCCTTTAAAGAAGACAAGGACCCTGTGTTGGTGTTTCTGTCCCGCTTCAGTCTTCTCGATCTGTCTGAGAAAGAGCCGTTCAAGGGTGACTACGTCAAGGAGAGTCAGTGGTCACATGATATGGACAGTCGTGATGGGAGTCACAGCTCTTTCCAGGCCTGCAGTTACGACTCGGAGCAGGACAGGGACTCAGTCCCTTACGCCACTGTGGTTTTCGGTGGTTCGTATCAAAGCCATTCGACCCCTCTGCCACCCTACGTGCGCTCTGAGTCCACACAGCCCCTGTTAGGAGGGGACGAGCCCGCCAGCCCTCCACCGTATGAGAACGTGTCGCGAGGCAGCCGTGTTTCTAAAGCAAAGCACTTCACTGCATTTCCTTCGAAATCCACTGGAAGTGAGGAGAACGAAGAACTTTGGGAAGAATTTCCCATGCTCAGATCCCTAGAGATCAGGGATACTGATCATAACTAAACTGAATTTGAGTCTATATAGAAACATGCAGGTGCCCCAAAAAACAGCACAGGCTCATTGGAAAACTGTCCTTCTACCTACATTTTTGCACAACCAAGAACATGTACATACAAATCACTGCCGTTTCCAGCTTAAGTTAACAACACTGAAGCAGAAAAACACCAAAAACCTTTAATAATTTTCATACAAAATAATAGCAGATTATTGAATAATAGACTTATTTTCATGCAGTTCCTTGCTTAATATTATGTAATGACTTCAAAACACTTACCATAGTGCAAGATTTGTAAACTAATACAATTTGACGTTTGCATCACATGACCAGCTCATACGTGTGTGTTCTCTGATGTAGTAAACTCAGTCTCTCTCCTGATGCAGCAGTGCACTCGTGATGTGAAGCGTCCCGTGAAACATGAATCACGATAAAAGAGCTCGTAGAAGCAGCTAAAATGTTGCTTCACCAAATGTGTCGTTTGCTTTTGTTAACACTATCAGGTATGTTTAGGGTTTAGTGTAGGTGGTTCATTATTAACAAACATGACAGCGTTAGCCTTTAGTTTCACTGAACAGACAATTCAGAACCGCTGCGATACTACAACAACCAACGCAATAAAGCGTTGCCAGATTCACGTTCATCGGTTTTGAAAAAAAAAAAGAGGAATGTGCCTTTAGAGCCACTCACTGGACATTTCACTTTGAAAGTGTTGCAAAATGTGCAAGACGTAATGTAATATCATTGTGTAAAAATGTTTCCACAGGCAGGTTTTCCCAATGAGCCTTAGTTGACTAGAGTCTGCATGCTGTATGTGGTCATAACATGATGATTTCCCACACATATCTGTTTTATGAATGACAGTGTGATCATCAGAAATAACAATCTGGACCACTGTCACTCATTATCTGAACTGTCTTTGATAATGCCAGGGACTGTATATCCATAAAACACAGCGCTGGTATATCAACAAATGGGAGAAAGTGGAACCTTTCATATGGAGATTTAATAAATGAAGTCCCGCCTTCCAAATAGAAGAGCCAATCATATGTGAAACTTGTCGTCACATAGATGCATTTAATCGTTTAATTTTTTTCAAGGTAGCCAGAAAAACGTCTCGGTTACGGATGTACCCTCGGGGGTGGGGGTGGGGTTTGGGCGTTTCATCCGACGAAAGGGAACTAGACAAGAATTTACCTAAACAAGAATGTCTATTCTTGTGTTCTCAGCATTGAGAAACTGCAGAAAGTTTCAGTAGCATTTTTTTTTAATTATTAAGAATAATGCTATTCATGATATCCGGTATAATGAGTTAAAAGAAGCACATTGCTGTTTTGTTGTCAATGAAGAGATGATGAGTCTTATGGCAATGTGGGAGTAAATAAGACAAAAAAAAAATCAGCCAGCACTGATGTGTTCATTTCTGTGGCTGTATTTTGTATTGAACATGTGATTTAAATTAGAGTATGTACTATTAGAAAATGAGCACAAATATGTCTGAATTGTATCTGTATGTTTTTATTTTTATAAAAAAAAAGAAAAAAAAGAAAGTGAAAAATGTTTTGTTCATTTCCTTCATAATTACTGGTTGTTTCCTTAAGTTTGACATGTGTTTTGCTATATACATTCACCTCTTGTATCTATGGTGCTTTAAATTGAGTATTTTATATGCATTTGAACATTTTTAAAGAGTACAAATTGTGGTTACATCTGGCAATGTAGCAACACCTCCTCTGGAAGGATAAAATAAAATTTTTACATGATTTGGCAATTCATAATTGTATGTGTGACGGTGCATTGTTTTCAGCATGTAACGTTTAATAGAAATGTGGTGTAATCTATATTACATGTTACCACTAGAGGGCAACACGGGCATGTATGAGGGGGAGTACGGCTTGAGCAAGCGAGATAGAAGAAGTGAGACACAATGTTATTGTGGCAGTCTTTTAATAAAGCGGCTCAGTGAACACTCAAGGCATCGGTCTTTATTTGTAAAAGAACCCAACACAACATGGTGTCAGAAGTGGCTGTGCTTTGAGAAAGAAGTCAGCTTTGGGCCCGGCTAGTGATTATGAGTGAGGAAGAACAAGCTGTTTGATTTTGCAAAGCCCCAAGAGTGGGAAAGGTGGAGTAGATGGTTTGAGTGTTTTAGACTGGCAAGTAACCTGAATAGCTCTTCGGAAGCAAACCAAGTCAATACTCTGGTTTATTGCATGGGAGACGAGGCTGACGACGTACTAAGAGGGCTCGAGCTAACGGCCGTGCAGTGCCAGCAATACAATGCAGTCAAAACAGCTTTCGACAGACATTTTGTCCCAAGAAAGAATGTGATTTACGAGAGGGCAAAATTTAACAAGAGAGTGCAACAGCCATCAGAACCTGTGGACACATTTATTACAGCTCTTTATGCACTAGCAGAAAACTGTGAGTACGGTGCTCTTCATGATGATCTTTTGAGAGATAGGCTTGTAGTGGGTCTTAAAGATTCGTCTCTGTCAGAAAGAATGCAGCTTGACAAAGATCTTACCCTAGCTAAAGCTATCACTATGGCAAGACAATCTGAAGAAATAAAGAGACAGCAAACTGACCTGAGAGGCGAAGTTATCGCCAGCAAAACAGCTATGGATGCAGTACAAGTTAGAAAAGCCAAGCTGAACAAGTTCAAAACCAAAGAGCATAAACAGTTTAAGTCTCTGAAGTTTCAGCAGACCAAACATGACAGTAAAGCATGTTCCAAGTGTGGCAAAGCACCCGCGCACGCAGCAGTACAATGCCCAGCAAAAAATGCAGAATGCCATAACTGTGGAAAACGCGGACACTATGGTAGAGTCTGTAAGTCCAGCACATCTGTGAACGAGGTTGCGGACAGTGCGGCTGGACTTTTCCTGGGTGAGGTGGATTCTGGAGAAGAACCATGGCTGGCGGACATAAATGTGGGCGGACATAAGGTGACCTTCAAGTTAGACTCCGGAGCAGATGTGTCCGCTATTTCCAAACAAACATTTGTGAGCTTCAAACTCAAAGACAAAACATTGGACAAGGCAGAAAAACCGCTCTATGGACCGGGTGGGGCTGCGTTAACTGTTTTGGGGTCTACCACAGAGACTATTGTGTATGGGGACAGGAGCACTACGGAGAAGATCTATGTAGTCCGAAACCTCTGCGTAGCACTGCTGAGTAGAACAGCTTCGGTGAGACTGAAGCTTATCGCCAGAGTCGATACTATAAACGAAGAGACAGTGAATAAAGCATACCCCAAGTTATGCGAAGGACTTGGGGGGGTACAAAAGCCATACACGATAAAACTAAAGCCTGATGCAAAGCCCTTTTCGCTAAAAGTGCCAAGGCGCGTGCCACTGCCGCTCATGGGCAAAGTTAAAGAAGAGCTGGACAGAATGGAAGGGTTGGGAGTTATTAGTCGTGTGGACGAGCCGACCGACTGGTGCTGCGGCATGGTTGTAGCTCCCAAAAAGGACAAAGAGAAGGTGCGTATCTGGACATGACACCTTTAAATGAGTCCGTGTGTCGTGAAAGATACATACTTCCTTCTGTAGACCAAACACTAGGCATGCTCACAGGTGCTCAGTATTTTTCTAAACTTGACGCGAATATGGGCTTTTGGCAAATACCACTATCCAAAGAGTCGACACTCCCCACCACCTTCATTACGCCATTTGGCAGGTACCACTTCAACCGTTTACCATTTGGTATCTCCAGCGCGCCCGAACATTTTCAAAACATGATGGTGACGGAGGTTACAGCAGATCTCGAGGGAGTCGTCTGTCACATGGACGATATCCTGGTCTGGGGATCGACCATAGACGAGCATGACACAAGACTGCATGCTGTCCTGCAGCGGGCAGAGAAAGCCGGCGTTACATTGAACATGTCGAAATGTGAGTTTACCAAACGAAAAGTCAAATTCCTTGGATTCATCGTCTCAGCAGATGGAATGAGTCCTGATGCAGACAAAACCCAAGCTGTTCAGGACATGAAGGAGCCAAGCAATGTGAGTGAGCTCAGGAGCTTTCTCGGTATGGTGAACCAACTGGGGAAGTTTATTCCAAATCTTTCCGAAAAGGATAAACCACTGAGAGACTTACTTTCAACCAAGAATATGTGGTACTGGGGGCACGACCAGCAAAAGGCGTTTCACAACCTTAAACAAGAACTGTCTTCTCCTCCTGTGTTACAGCTCTACAACCCAAATAAGCCACAGAAAATCTCCGCGGATGCCTCTTCATTTGGCCTGGGGGCAGTCATGCTGCAGAAAGAGGGAGATGTGTGGTCACCAGTTGCTTATGCTTCCCGATCATTAACACCTACAGAGCAGCGCTACGCTCAGGGGGAAAAAGAAGCGCTGGCTCTTACGTGGGCCTGTGAGAGGTTTAATTACTTTATCCTAGGCCTTCACTTTGAACTCGAAACTGACCACAAGCCACTAGTGAGTCTTCTGGGAGGACAAGCTATGGATGCGCTTCCGCCGCGGATACAGAGATTCCGTATGCGCTTAATTTAGAGGTCTTTAGAATCGCGTGGAAAGACAGTATGTCACGTTATAAAAAAGCTCTAAAAGCAGCCAGGGCTGAGCATCTCCGCAAACTAATAGAAAATCACCAAAATAATCCAAGGTTTTTATTTAACACCGTGGCTAGACTAACAAATAAACAGACATCACCCGAGCAAATTATTCCGTTACAGTATAGCTGTAATGTTTTTATGAACTACTTCAATGAGAAAATAGAAAGCATCCGAAACACAATTGTAAATGTACAATCCTCTATGGTGTCTTATGATTCAGCCTCAATTATCGCCCCTCAAGAACAACTACACCGCTTTACAACTATAGGACAGGAAGAGCTAAATAAACTTATCATTGCATCTAAACCAACAACATGTTTATTAGATCCAATACCAACTAAATTTCTGAAAGAAGTGTTACCTGTAGTGGAAGAGCCTCTTCTTAATATTATTAACTCGTCTTTATCTTTAGGTCATGTTCCAAAAATATTCAAGCTGGCAGTAATAAAACCTCTCATTAAGAAACCGCAATTAGATCCAAATAACTTAGCAAATTACAGACCGATTTCAAATCTTCCATTTATGTCTAAAATACTAGAAAAGACTGTGTCCGCT